TAAACACCAGACTTCAGTAAATACATGTTTGAGTAATTCTGAATCGTCATCTAATCATCAGGACAGTAAAGCCTCCGCCATGCATTGTACAACACATTCAAAAATTTTACTGAAAACCGCAGTAGCTACAGAAAACGTAGGACGCAGATTGAGCAATAATTTACTCAGTAAATATAGACAGATAATTGACGACCATGAAAGGAGGGGCATCGTAGAAAAGGTTGAACATCCAGAGTCAAACACAGAACAGACGCATCATATCCTTCACCACTCAGTCAGAAAAGATTCAACAACCACACCTATTCGCATCGTTTACTACTACAGCTGCCATAAATCAAACGATTTTCCAAGTCTTAACTATTGTCTTCGCAAGGAGCCACCAACTTTGAATGACATTAGCTCACTATTACTCAGATTGAGAGAGAACAAATACGCAGTTGTGACTGACATTGAAAAGGCCTTCCCTCAAATTGCTGTAGACGAGAAATATCGAGACTAGACCAGATTCTTTTGGTTGAAAGACACCACAGATCCTACATCACTGTTAATTACTTACCGGTTTAAATCCGTTCCATTTCACCTTTCATTTTGAATGCGACCTTGATAAAACATTTGCCCGAGAACCATAGCACCACAGCTGAGATACTACAATCCAGACTTTACATCGATAATATTATAGCAGGATTTGACAACATTCATGAGCTTATGGACTTTTACAAAGACTGGAGAAAATTGATGACAAAGGGAGGATTAAACTTACGTTCGTGGGATTTTAACAGCAATGATCTTAATAGATTAGCAAAATCACAGAAATTAAACAACAAAGATAACTGTGTTCGTATTAACAATTAGCAGATAGTAAATTGTGGAAACATGGACCGAAATGGTTGACAAAAACAGATCAATGGCCAAGTGATTTCAAAATCGAAATGGATGGCAATCAAGAATCAATGACAATAGGGACTTTCAAGGAACATCAAATAACAGTGATCAACCTCAAAACGCTCTGGATATATTAGACATAGATAAATACAGTTCATTCAGGAAAATTGTGCATATACTTGGTTACATTCAGAGATCCATTTCGAACTGCTGTTGTCTTAAGCGACACGCCACAAATTACCTTACACCAATGGAGAGAAATACTTCAACTGTAAAAATCATCAGAGAATTACAGCACCAAAGTTACTGTGAAATTTTTGAATGTCTTTTGTTAAAGTCAAAGCATAGTTTAATTCGCCAATTACGACTATACTTGTGACTATAATTAGTTGGTATGTCTTCTGTAAACAATATGTCATCAGGTCTTAACACCACAATAAATCTGCCCAATTAAAGTTTCAAAGTAAAGTTCTGCCCTAATGTTTAACCAGTATCATATTACATACATACACATCTTTATGACCTCTCTTACAATAACTTTTCTTATAGACCTTCATTCAATTTTTTAGAACCATTCTATAAACTCCTTGGTTTCTTTTGTATCTTGTTTTGAAATTATTCAATGTAAATTGTCGCCTATGGACCCCACTGAGGCCCCCACCCCCGTCCTTAATGAGTTGTTGTTTCTGTCTAAATGTATTTTACTGTAATGTAAAACACTTTAAAACCATCGACCATCTATGGCGCTTCAGCAATTTCTGTCATGAAAAGGGGCGATTTAGTTCATTCACTTACTTACCTGCTAATTTATGAGCACAGATTTGGAGATTTGGATGCATTTCCTACAAGAACTTATTCATAAAAATATTACCAGGTACTGTCAAATTATGAGTAACAATCTATTTATCTGAATAAATATACGTTAGCCTCGAAACTTTTTATATGGTTTTGAAATGCTAAAACTTTGCAGCTTTTTAAAAATTGCAAAATTTTATCACATATTAAATTGTTTTTCTATAATTTTTTTTTATTTCTGAAATTTTCACGACTATCTTCCTTTCAAAGAACAGAGTTTTGCTTAAGAGAACCAAAATTTCAAATTTAATCTAGTGAAGAAGGGCTCTGTACTAAATTTAGAACATGAAATCTAATACCAGGGTGCCAAGAACAGGTCAAGTTATTGTACCTTCTGAGTAGGGTATTATCAATAGGTGACAAGGTGCAATATAAATTTGTATCATATCTGTCAAAGAGTAATGAACCATCACATTCCAGTTTTGGCTGTAATGGCCGCCAAGTGGTAGTAAAAGTTAGGACTGGGCCTACAATCAACGGGAATAAAGGCAGAATCATTTGGGTCTTTCTTATTCCAGTTATGCTA